GAGGGGCGGGGTGCTGGCGGTGTGGCGGGGGGGCCCTCCCCCGCTCCTCTCCTCCCCGCCCGCCGCCCGCCTCTCGGGGGGAGGGGCGTGGGGGCAGGGAGCCGATTTGCATGCGGCCGCCGCGGCCGCTGCCTGCGCCTGAGCCCGCCGCCGCCGGAGCCCGTGCCCGCGCGGCCCCATGCCTCTGGCGCGGCCCTCGGGGGGGCGAAGGTGAAGACCGGCTCCTAGGATGAGTGAAGGGGCGGCCGCTGCCTCGCCACCTGGAGCCGCTTCGGCAGCCGCCGCCTCGGCCGAGGAGGGCACCGCGGCGGCTGCGGCGGCGGCGGCGGCGGGCGGGGGCCCGGACGGCGGCGGCGAAGGGGCGGCCGAGCCCCCCCGGGAGTTACGCTGTAGCGACTGCATCGTGTGGAACAGGCAGCAGACGTGGCTGTGCGTGGTGCCTCTGTTCATCGGCTTCATCGGCCTGGGGCTCAGCCTCATGCTCCTCAAATGGATCGTGGTGGGCTCCGTCAAGGAGTACGTGCCCACCGACCTGGTGGACTCCAAGGGGATGGGCCAGGACCCCTTCTTCCTCTCCAAGCCCAGCTCCTTCCCCAAGGCCATGGAGACCACCACCACGACCACTTCCACCACGTCCCCTGCCACCCCCCCTGCCGGCGGCACCGCCTCTTCCAGGACGCCCAACCGGATTAGCACTCGCCTGACCACCATCACGCGGGCGCCCACTCGCTTCCCCGGGCACCGAGTGCCCATCCGGGCCAGCCCGCGCTCCACCACGGCACGGAACACTGCGGCCCCTCCGACGGTCCTGTCCACCACGGTTCCTTTCTTCAGTAGCAGCACGCCGGGTTCCCGACCCCCGGTGCCGGGAACCCCCAGTACCCAGGCAATGCCCTCCTGGCCCACTGCGGCATTCGCTACCTCCTCTTACCTTCACGATTCTACTCCCTCCTGGACCCTGTCTCCCTTTCAGGATGCTGCTGCCGCTGCCTCCTCCTCCTCCTCCACAACCTTGGCTTCCTCCCCCTCTACCACGACCACGCCAGAAACGAGCACCAGCCCCAAATTTCGTAAGTAAACACTGTGTCTGAACTCTGATTTACTCCTGAGTTTTCTTTCTGTCCTCCTGCTGTCGTTTCCCCTCGCCGTCCTAGCATCCCCACCCCACCCTTCACCCCGCCCCATTACAGGTTTGGAGCACAGAGTGAGATAGTTAAAACTGGCCACAAGGGAGGAAAAAGGTGCCGGCCCGCACTGGGTCCATGTGTGGGGTGGAGGCGGTAGCAAGTGGAGGGAGATTGTCAAGCTTCACGGGCCCCACTTCAGTGAGTCCCAAATGAGAACACATCTCCTGACTCCCTTCAAAGGGTTAACGCGAGTGCGATCCCTGCCCACTGCAGACCTGCTGGGGAGCTCCGGGATCAAGCTCCTGTGGGGAGCTGGGAGGAAGGGAGGGCCTTCCCAAACGCACTGAGCCCTTTCCCGCCGGTAGGAAGGAGAGAAAGAAAAGCACATGCAAATTCACCGACGATAAACCACCAAGGGAAGTTTTGCCCCTGTGGGGCGGTGGGAGGGTGTGGGGCTGATGATTTGATGGAGACGTTGGTAGAAAGAAGCTGTAGACACTTCGAGCATCCCTGACCCGGGCAGGGACCAGGAAGGGTTAATCTGAAGCTACTGGAGGAGGTAGGGAAAAGAGGAGATCCTTGGCGGAGGGCTAAACTGATCACCCCCGCCCCTCCCCCCC